ATCTTTCCTCTTTGCCCTAAATGCCAACAAAACCAGGCATCACCTGAGCACATCTTGAACTGTTTAGGGCTGGACTGGAACGACATTCATTCCTCTCCCATTCTGGTTTTGGATTTTCTTAATCTCAACGGATTCATTGATCTGGCCTGACCCCGTCAGACCAGATGGGAATTAGCAACAACAACAACACTTTCATGACTTATGTCATGCTATTCCCCTCAAAAAGCATGCAAAAATAATCAAATATTTGCAAAATTTACTTTGTAGTTATTTACCGTTTATTTAATTCTTTTGCCGTGTCCGGAGCAGTTGGCATCTCTGAATTGTTCACCCCACAATGAGCCACCAAAATTGGAATGTATTCACATTGAATACTTTCCTCCTAATTGTACGTCAATTTTACAACCTCTTGACCAGTGTATAATTAAAGTGGTAAAGGGAAAGTATCGAGCACAACTTTTGAGGCGTATGCTTGTGCAAATCGGAAACAAAGAAGCAATTACGAAACCAGATGTAAAGCAAGCAATGGATATGATTGCTGGAGCATGGGAAGACATTAGCCAAAAAGTCATCTGTAATGGATGGAAGAAAGCAAATTTAATTTCGGCAATTGACAATGAAACAGTCGATGAAATTAATGATGTAATCATCGATTTGCAGCCTTTATGGGAACATGTGACAAAAGAAACATCAGTGCCAAACGAAGTCAGTCTTGACAACAGATGATGATGCTAGAACATGCGAAGCATTGACAGACAATGATATTGTACGTATGATTCAAGAAAACAGACAAAAATCACTTTCGGACAGCAGCGATGATGAAGAATGTCCAGAAGAAAACAATGTACCTACAGCTTCACAAGCCTTGGCCAATTTGGAAGCTGTAAAGAGATATTTATCGGCACAAAAAAACTTTTCAGATACTTTGTTTGAACATGTGCATAATTTGGAAATTTTTTTTATTTCTACTGGTTCTAAATCATTTGTTCAGAAAAAAATTACTGATTATGTATCTGCCTAATTAGTAAGTGTTAATAAATTCATTGTTTACATTAGTTTTGTGCGCTCTTTTAATATTACATTGATATTTTCCCAAATCTAGATTAAAAATATAATATCAAAACTGTAAACTGATTTTTCATATGAATAGTAATCCCAATGTAACGAAATAATATTTGTTAATGTTGAAAATTCGTAATATCGGTATAACGAATTTTCATTATTGCGTAAAAATAGCTCCGGTCCCATGGAATTCGCTAAAACGGGATCCGACTGTATTGATTTAATTTTAAAAGATTAAATTAATCAAAAAAAATTCTTATTATCTTAATGAATGCAGGATTCTTAATGAAAAACTAATAAATCACATTTTTTGCTTGACTCCAAGCTTCCATTTCTGAGGGGCAAACAGAAGAGGCAGGCAAGGTGAATTTATAAAATGGTCTCATATTCTTGTATATGTATATATGTGCACCAGAAGCAACAGCAATAGCTGTAAAAGATAAAATAAGTAATTTAAGAAATTAAGACATTTAATAAAAAAAATAATAAAATAATTAAATTTTAAAAACAATGTACAAAATATCAAACTCTTATTAAAGTCAAACTCTTATTAACCACCAGATATTAAATAATATATCCCTAGGCTCCTAATTATTCTACAGTTGTACAGCTTTTAAAAACACACTATTAAATTATTTTTGAAGATTGAAAATCAAGAAACATTAGATTTTTAATGATCAATACATTAAAAATAGTAAGGGGGATGCAAACAAAAAAAAAACATTGCATTCCAGGATGTGTAATTTTTTCATCACAAGAAATAAAAAGAAAAAAAAAACACACCAGCAAGTTTTTGTAAGTCAAATTAAACAAGACTTCTTTTCTGCATTAAAAAAAGGAGTGAAAAATAATTTTGAGTTGAATTAACATAGAAAATTTGGTTTTAATTTTTTGTTGAATTATTACAACTTAATCAACAAAAGATTGCAACTTTTCCTTAATCATCAAAATAATTATTTTTCATGTTTAGTTTTAAAAATAGAGATTTGAATAATTTTAAATAAAGACTCACTAGTAGTGAAAAAGGATCCAAAAATTTGGAAGTCTTGGATCCTAAGGACCCATAGTTTTCAAAGTCTAGCAGAATCTTAGCTTAAAGAAATCTTTTTATCAAAGAAAAAAATAAAGAAAGAATATCCAGGAAAAGTTAGTGAAGATAACCTCCACAACTTAGTGATTCTAAAGAATTTGCAGAAAGTATTTACTGAATCACAAAATGGAAGACTGCAGATGAATTTTTATTTTCCTAATCTACTTTGAGTTTTAAAAAAAATAAAAATTAAAAAAATATATGTTTTCTAGGATGTATTGCAAAACTTTCCATGCATTGTAAAATTTTAAATATATCTGATACTGTTTAAATCCTTTGGTATTTTTTCTCTCGTTTCTGTTAAAATGACGGGTTGAAGAAGTTTTTCCCTCCATTTCTCATGCCCATGATATTTCTGTGCTGGAGTGAACAAAAGTAACAATCCAAAAATATGAAAACAAACTATTTCTTATGCTCAGAATCATGTTTATTTCTCAATCTATACATCGGATGATAGTATAAAACAATTCATTATGTGTCTGGAGATAGTTTATTTTTAACAAGATAACGGCATTCTTTTTTTATTTCAAGCTAAACTTTTACTCAAAAATTAACAAAGAATACTTACATTGTACATCACATAGTGTTACATAATTTTCTTGATTAAAAAATAAGCACTTTTATTACTGTTTTCTTCAAAATTGATCAACCATTAGGGGGCAATATAAAACAATAAATATTAATACATAATTACCAGGAGAACGTGGATCACAGGTATCCATGTGAAAAGATACAACACCAGTTGGGAGATCAATAATGGTATGTTCAGAGAGTAAATGTGTGCCTATAAAAAAAAAAAAAAATAATAAATAAATAAAAAATATTTACTTAAAAAAGTAATAAAATTTTTGAAGGAAAAAAATATTAACAAATAAGTTTTAAATAATCTTTGTATATTAAACTAAACAATTAAAAATAAATTCAGAACTTAAAAATACAGTGTGAATTAAATAATCACGGTACCAAACAAGAATACAGGAATGAGGATGGGTAACTCTAATAGAGATATCTAAAATGAGATTTGTATTTTAAATAGGGATATTCTGATAAATATTACCATTTTTATAGCCAGATAATATATTGCAACATGTAGAAATTTACTTATAAGAAAAATTATCATAGATTTATATTAATATAAATTTTGTTAACTAAGTTAAAAAACTTTGTAAACAAAATATCCAAAACTTCTGTTTGAAGAAAAAAAATGAACTTAACAAAAGTTATAAACTAAATGTTTAGCAGTATATTTTTATATTTAACCCTAATACTTTTACACATACAAATTATATTGATATACAGGAGAGGAAAAATATTCTGAAGAAGAAGGTTCTTAGAAAGAGAGGGGGACATAAGAAATTGTCATACTGTTATTGATACCAGTCATGTTTAATTAATTGTGATAAGTACCTTATATAACTAACATAGATACAGAAGTAGGTTTTATTTGTATGCCTCTCTTAAAAAAATGGATAAGTGCTTAGAGTAAATAATAAGGAAAAATTGCTTTAATGTTCTAAAAAATTGTGGCATCGCATGAGATTTATCAAAATGTTGTCTATTGAATGAGATTGATCTAAACATTTGTTAGATAACAGATTCAAGTAAATTTGAATTTTTCATATAATTAGATTTTAAAAGATATTATTGACATAAATGAAGAATAAACACAGAAAAAATGAACGAAAACTTTAAAAAAAAATTTTTTTTTTAATGTTTTGATGAGTTTTTATTAAATGTTTTATTGGTTTTGAAAAGTGTTTTTAAGAGCTTATTTTTCAAAAAAGTTTGAACCTGGTGCATACAATTTTTCTCCCTACAACATTTGTATATAATTACAAATTAATTGGTAAAATAATATATCTAAGTTTTTATTATATTAATTCAAAAATCAGTTATTAACTAAATTGGAGTCACAGTGATTGATCACTAGTTAAGACACTGAGTTATCATTGTGAAGAACTGGGATTCGATCCTTTATTGTGACATTTACAAAACTGGGTGTGAAGCACACGCAGCTTTATAAACACCAAATATGGCTAACCTATCAATCTGAACCCATCAAGCTGAACCCATCAATCTGAAGCTGGGTTTGAAGCACACCTAGCTTCAGATTGATATGTGCTAGAATGTCAGGGAAGTAAAAGCGGTTTTGCGTAATGCTGATCACATTGCCACATCATGCTATTGCTCAAGAAATTGAGAAAACTTAACCTTCATAATTCCTGACGCATAATAGGCTGTTGCAGGAATGCTTTATTCACAGAATCAGCATTATAATCTCCCTCAGGTGATGTAGGGAAAGCAGATTTGTAGTAGGACACTGTTAAACAGTTGACTAACAGAGGTAACAAATTATTTTTCTAAATTGCAAATGATAAACAAATGTTAAAGCATTTATAAAATCAGATATCATTTAAAGAAATTGATTCAAACATACAAATAAACAGTTATCAATTCAAATTTAAATTGAGTTCAAAACTATAAAACAGTTAAAAACCAACATATTTCAAACAATTAAAATAAGTATATGGATAAAATGCAACTAAGTTCTATAGATTTATGTTTTTGTAAAATAATTATGTTAAATACTTGATTTGTACATCAAATCTCATGAAAATGACCTTTAATTTGTTAAATTCAAATATTCACAAAGTCATCAAAAACTAACTGATTTAGTTAAGTTTTGGCTTAAGTGATTGGAGGCCATCTCATTGTCTTTAATTCACAAATTATAAAATGGTTTTGAAAGATACCTTTATAAACTTTTAACTTCATATTATGAGTTCCAGTTCCTAAATCAGCAACAATTAATTTATAATCTCCATCACCATGCAAGTCTGCTAAACACATGCATGATGAAAATGTATATAAGGTAGCTAATGGATCATAGTGAGCATGAAGCCACTTGGATGAATGTTCTAATCTGAAAGAAAACAATTTGAAGCTATTAAATATAATATGTAAAAAGTAACAAAAGGCAGATACCTAAGCTTTATAAAAAATAATTTAATAACAGGAAAAATTATTAATCAGTAATGGATAAAATATTGCTCTGTATGGGCAGCAGGTAAGTTTAAAATTTTACAAGGAAAATTATTCTATGGATAATGTCTTCTACTCCAAAGCAGTACTGTAGACTTCATAACCCATATTTCCGGGTTACTTTATCTGGTGTATTTTGAGGTCATTTGGCTGAACATATTTTCACTGCGTATTCTGTCTCTCTGTTCTAAATGATAACTAAAATTAACTTAGTCTTGCTATTCTTACTAAATGCTAACACTAATGTATGCATTGTTCACTACTTGCAACAAGAACAAATAATAATAAACAAGTAAAAAAAAAGTCAAATAAAAAATACAAGTTTTTTCCTGAATGTAGCAACTATGTCAGCATTTTTAACAATTCATCTATAAATACCCTAGACAACTTTTCAAATCAAAGTCATCAGAATAAATAAATAATATCCTATGAAAGACAGCAGATTTGAGCACAGAAATTATGTTATTTTTTTATTGAAATCAAAATTATCTGTTTGAAAATATTGCCTTGCACAGCGATCTGTAGTAAGCAGCTGTAAACTTTCTAACCAGAAGTCATGAAGTTAAATAACTCAAGATTTGTTTTTGTTTATGTTTTTACTGAAAATCCCATCTATTATACTATAGTTATTAAAAAGGTGATTATAACAATTAATATTAACGTTATTTTGACCTAATAACAATAATTAGAAAATCAAAATAATTTAGTTACATAAAATTTTTACCTTAAATAAAAAATTAGATTTAAAAAAAAGGTTAATTTTTGAAAATCTAAGAATAATATTCTTAATGCACCTCTACATATAGGGCACCTATAATATCTTGCTTAAAACATCATGTCCTTCTTTACCTATATTCTCCATACAGATAAGAGTTTACTAATTTTGTATGACTTTTTAAATCAAGTGATTCAATTAAATATTATAATGCGTGCACGTGTAGACTTATACTGTGAAACTTTCTTTAAAAACCTACCCTCTATTATGCAAAATATGAAACACTCAAAGAATTGCCTACTTTGAATTACCAAAAAAAATTTTACAAATTTACAGAAAAATATTTATTAACTAATTACAACCATCTTAATAAAAGAATGTCAAAAATAGCTCTTCATTTTGTTATTTATTAAGATTTCTATGCTATATAAGTAGTTCTAAATACATATTTTACATAGTCATAAGGAAGTGGTTTTCACATTCATTATGATATGATACATTATCCAACTTATCTTTCAAAATTTTATGGAATTCGGTTGCCTCAAATAAAAAAAAAAATGTCCACCAACTTCTCTAAATTAGCTTTGTCTTAGACTTTATCACTTCATTGCACTGTTTGTTTAATAAATTCATTTATAATCTAGATAGGCTTAAAATTCTGGTCTACAATAATTTAACTAAATCAATAACTCTATCCATCTGGGTTTTTTTTTCACTGTCTCAATTGCCAGAACTGTCTTTTATTTTCTAAGAATAGTAAAATTTTGCTCTTGCTTGTTTTAGAAGAAATTCTATTATTATTCTTGTAAATATTAGATAATATTTACAAGAATAATAATAGAATTTAATTTAGAATTCAGAAGTTGCATCTTAATGCAACATCATCTGCGGAGGAATTTGGAAGTACAATTTATTTAATTATATAAACTCTGTTTTAAAAATTAAGATGGTTCAAATAAATATGGATGTGGGTAATTGCTTTTTCTTTGAATTCTTAGTCTTGGGTGAATAAGCTTTCTATCAAAAGGTATCACAAGATTGAAATGGGTTAGCATGTCTTAAATACTAGTGAAGTAATGTTTAATAATCGTAGTGATAGTTAAGCCTCAATCTATTGATGAAAGCTGTTCCCATGTTGATTCTAAAGAACAAAAGAGGATTATGTATGGATACACAAGCAGAACAAAAATTTGGTTAAACTATCAGCCACATTCAATAAAAAATTACATTCATAGTTTTATAATAAAACGTAGTTTTATTTAAAATAAGAACACGAAAAGTCTGAAAAATAATTTTCTCACTCATCAGAAGAAGTTTCGTCCATTTTTCTTTTTACTTCGTAAAACAAAGATGAAAAAAAAAATAATTTAACTATTAAGTAAAGAACATGAGTTTCCCAATATACTGTGAATATAGAAGCTGACTTTTTCTTTTGAAAATATTATTAAATATTTGTGCCCTAAGCTTTTTTTTTAACAGTAAAATTTGCTAAGTTTTGATCTTAAACCCAAAGAAAACAAAGCCACTTGTTGCTATGGCAACAAGCTAAAGTTTAGATGACCGAATATACACTCATTAGTTGAGAGTAGAAAAAAAATATTTTAAACTATTCATTAGTCACATTAAATATTTACCATAAAATTATATTATACTAATATAATCGTTTCGCTTCTTTCAAGAGTCGGAAAAATAATTTAATAATTTTCCATATTTACCTGTTTGACCTCTAATAATCCGCAACCGTACGTTGACAGCATTATCCAATGAAATTGTGTTGTTGTTTAAAAGTAAATTTAAAAACATTTTTGCAATTGTAGCATTTTAGAAATTTCTTTGTCCAACAAATTGGGTTTTTTAAAAATATCCTTTTAATTTTAACTATCTTAAAGTTATTTTAAAAATATTTTAATGTTTATATATTAGGAAATTCAATTTAAGTGTTCCGGGATATCGTTTTATACCAGGACAAGGTACACATGAAATAATCTTTTTCTAAGATTTTAATTTAATATCCTTTTTAATGAAATATTTTTGCTAATGATAGTTATAGATAGATTGTTAAACTCAAATTTATCGTCAAATGGACGTAAACTCTGTGTAATTTATGGTTTAAATTTTAAGTAACGAGTTAGCTGGTACATTTCTTCTACCGTCTTTTCGAGTTCTTTGACCATAATTGCTTTGATTTCTTTTATCATTGCTTTGTTTTTTTTACAGTTTATTTTAATCTTTTTCATGGTTCTTTTTTACTGCCTTGTAATAAGAATATTCTTTGAAGGTTTTTTCATAGTTGTTTCTAATTAACGTTTTCTACCCATGTGTGGTAATACTAATTTTAAAAGTATTTACTATATTAAAACTAGTCCAATTATATCTTCTATGTGTTATGAATTTTAAATATTTCGAAAGTATTCCTGTTTTATAGAAATGTGTAAATAAATCCTCAAAGTAAATAATTTTTTTTTTTTTTTTTTTTACATTAGAAGATTTATATTATATATATATTACATACTAAACTCTAATCCGCGCATTGTATCAAGGGTTCGGCTTCTGACTATTACATTTTAGTTTGTTGGTTTTTAGTTGGTTTATAAATATTCAAATTTGTTGTCTTTTTCATTAAGTTGTTTTAAATCTCTTTGAACATTTCATGAGTAATTGAAGATAAACAAGTTTAATACAGCCAACAATTTTCAAAATATCTAATTTCGTTTACAGGGAATTTTTAAGTATTGGGTGTTTCTGAAACTTAGAGCCATTGGTATAGGTTTTATCCAAAGAAATAATGAAAAAGAAATGAATATAAATTATTACATTTCTAAATAGGACAATTAATTAATTAAAGAATAAAAGTGGATAAGACTGGTATTAAACTGTTAAATTATTGTTTTAAATTAGCTGCATGTAAAATAATTTGCTGATAATAAACATATTTCAATTACATAGCTGCCAACTGTTCCGATATAATTGTGTTGTACCAATTTTTTAGCCTCATATAGAAAATATGATTTTAGATCAAAATGTTCTGATTTTTCGGCATTCTAGCACCTTTTCACTTTTTATACTGATTTTCTTTCAACCCAGGGTGGGTCTAAAAGCTACCACAGCTATTTGTTCATGAACTTCTGTTAACACTTAATGATAACACTTGTTATATAAACAATATAATTTAATTAATGCCATTCTGTTATAATTTTTTTAAATTAATGAGTTATTGGTTCACATTATGTTTGAACATTTTAAATTCCTGTATTTTGATTGAATTGTTTTTTCTTTTTAATTTCCTCCTCTATTTTTGCGATTGTAGTGAATAAAACATTTTTTATTTGTTAGATAATTATGTTTTCAAAAGAAGCCTCAAAAAACGTTAAGGGTGCAAGTTATTCAAGAAAGTCTGGGCAAAACAATGCAGTTAATAAAGTACCAGGAAAAGAAAATGCTAAAAAAGCTGATGTAAAATCTAACTCATTAGTTAAACAATCAGCATTTCAGGTAAGGCTTCAGGATAAGTTAATTTTATATTCATTTTTCTATTTTATTGATAATTTTAGAATTGACCATTCATAAAGTCATATGTGTGGAAAAAATATTTTTAAGCATATAGGGTGACCTGTGGTAATTCCTAATCAAAAAATGCAAACATCTATTTCGTGAAAAAACTATTCAAGATAGAATTTTAATATTTACTGGTAGTTTAAAGCTATATGAGATGAGTACTTTTCTACCTTCTTTTGTTTGAAAGTCTAATTAGAATTTAAAAGATTTTAAATTTTTAGTGATCAGGAATTACCCCTTCTCTTGATCATTTCTGGGGTAATTACTGATCACCAGTTTTTATAGTAAATAACCTGTTTAAAAATAATTATACAATGGTAATTAACAAATAAGACATTAAGTTCAAGCAAATGAACCAAAAAGATATTTTTAAGCAGCTATTAAAACGTTTTATTTAAAAGCAGGGATAAAGATTAACACTTCAGCTCAAACAGCAGCTCTCACACTGAAATTTTCATTTTCAATCATTAAAAGAAATTTGCTATTTTTGCTTTCTAGAAGCCTAGTATCTTTTTTCAGCTAATAATTTCTCACCATATTTATATTAGGTTAATTTATCAACTTAAAAATTATTTTAACAATGTACACACATAAGATTAAGATATAAGGAAGGTAAGACAAGCTAGAAATGGTGCATATCAGAACCCATTTGTTTTGTATACAGTTAAAAACAAATTTTGTGATTATAGTTAAAATATATTTTATAGTTTTTCTACTTAATAAATATGAACTGTTATTTAAGAAAAGACAATTAACTATTTATTAGCTATTTTTTATACTATTTATAAGAAGAAATGAAAATGATCAAGAATTACCCCATCTGCAGGGGGCAACATTTGATATAGTTTCCTATAATCTAGGGGTGCTCAACCTGCGGCCCGCCAACCCTCGATGTGCGGCCCGCGGCCGCAATCTGAACAAAATGAAAAAAAAAATTTAAATATTTGTTTTTGAAAAATAATAAAAAAAAAATTCGGTAATTTAAATTTACACTTTTAAGTTTTTGACGCACCCAATCTCAATCAATGTAGTTTTTCGATGGTTAACGCTACGGATTTCAGCATAGTTTTAAAAATCCCAATATTTTTAATACATCATTATTACGATTTACGAATTTTAATTACCACTTTTGACGCTTTTCGTATGTGCCGATTCCAATGACTTTTCGGTAGTTATTGCTACCCATTTTCAAGTAGTTTCTGAAATAGCGATTTTTGAAAGTTATGAAACGCTTTATTTGTGCAAACTTCATGGAAAATCTAAATGACTTTAGATCCTTTCTTCAACAGTTATTGCTGCACATTTCCGCCCGGTTTTTAAAACTTCGATATTTTAGCACGATATTATTACGAATCGCGAGTAAAGAATCGCTCATTTAGATAACCATTTTTTGACATGGCTTATTTGTAACGATTTTATCGCAAATCAAATTATTTTTCAATCGTTATTTTAGAAATTATTGCTACACATTTCTACAAGGTTTTGAAAGTACCGATATTTTTTATACGCTATTGCGACATTTTAATTTCAAATCTCGCATTTAAATTACATAAAATTTTGATGGACTTTATTTACTCCAATTTCATCTAAAATATTAAAGTATTTTGGTTATTGTTTTAGTAGTTATTACGTTTTCCCCGTGATTTAAAAAGATTATGATATTTTTAATACTTTGACAGCAAGCGAGTTTTGAATCGCGCATTAAAATAATTATTTTTTACGTGCTCTGTTTGTGCCGATTTTATCATTTGCGTTGTACCGATTTTAACACGAATTTTTTAAGAGGTTTTTCGAAAGTGTTTTTTCTTCTTTCCCGTTATTGCTGCATTTTTATTTGTGATTTAGAATATACCTGATATTTTCACACAGTATTACAACTCGTGAAATTCGATTCAGCTTTAATTTTTTTTCGTAACTTAAAAAGTAATTACGTATCTTAGCCAAATCAACACCTTCCCAGGAAAAAAAAAACCTAGATGTGTTTAAATGCGGTCCGTTTTGCAAAAAAAAAAATAAAAAAATAAATAATTCAAAAAACGGCATAATTCTTTAGTCCCATGAACACGTGCAAGTTTAACAACACACATCGAACCTATTCTTTTTGTTGTCACATGTAATTTAAAAGTCATACATCGTAATTTGTATTTACGCTATCTGAAAATTGCGCATCGCATTTCGTATTAACATTAACGAGATTTAAAAATAATCCATCGCGTTTCGTATTTACGGGATTTAAAATCACATATCGCGATTCGTGTTCTGGCGTTTAAAATATCATCCGTTGCTACTTTTCTCGCAATTCATATGCACGCGTTTTAAAAACCATATATCGCGATTCATATTCATGCATTTTAAAAATCAAGTGTTGTGAGTAGTCCTTTCGCAATTTAAAAGCCACACGATTCGTATTCACGCGATTTGAAAAACAAGCATCGAGTTTTTTATTTACGCAATTTAAAAATCACACATGGCAATTCGTATTCAAGCAATTAAAAAATAACACATAGCAATTCGTATTCAAGCAATTAAAAAATAACACATCGCTATTTGTATTTCCGCGATTTAAAAACCCAGAAAGGAAGAACACCATCTAGGACAAATTCCAAAACTGATTATGTTATTTGCTCTAAGTTTAATACTACCCACAACAACAGCTTCTGTCGAAAGACTGTTTTCCAGAATGAATTTGGCCTGTTCAAAATTACAGAGTAGTCTTTAAATACAATCATTACATTTTCATTTAATGGCTCAAAAAATATCACATGATCAAGTAGATAAAATTATCACAATATTCAAAAATTTTGCAAATTACAGTATAACCATTAAGAAATTTTTTAAACCATTTTCTACCTTCTTGGAGCATTTTATATCATTTATGATTATATGCTGGGAAATGATTTGTATATCATTAAATTTTAACTGTATAAAAAATTTAATCAAGATAAGTTTCGAAAAGTAATGTAAATTTTATTGATTGTTAATTGATTGTGTATTAATTGTAAATAGTAAGTGTCATGTTAAAAATATATTCGTCATAAAAAGTTGTAAACAAGTATCTTAATAGTTTTTTATTATTAAGGAATATAGTTCCTTAAAATTTAATGTGTTTTCTTCTTTCTTTTTCTTCCCTCTCTTAGCCTCTTATTATTAATTTAAAATAAAAATGTCTGAAAGATAAAGTACATTCCCTAATAAATGCTAAGTCTTATTTTCCACTTAAGGGGTTTAGTTTTAGTTTTAATCATTTTTAACCCTATAAACTTTCTTTAAATCAAAGTATTTAACTTGAATTTATATTAATGACTAGAATATTTATTTATTTGAAATTTAATTCTATGAAAAAAAAATTAACGTTAAAATTTATGTTTAAATGGACTTTTGTATTTTGTAATGTGATAAAAAAAATTTCAATTTTTCCATAGTTTTTTAATTATTTCAATTTATCTAAATTTTTTCCGATAAATTGATTCTGATTTTCGAATTCTGTTTTCCTTCTTAAGTAATCAGTTTTGCATTTTCTAATTTTAAACGTTTTAAAGTATTGTATTTTCTGCAAAGAGATTGCAAGGTTAACCTACAAAAATAATTTAGTGTTATATAAACAATGATGTTTATATAACAATCACCACCAACAATTGCTTTCAATATGTCGGTCTAAACACTTTGGCATGCGGCCCTTCATTGGTCAATCTGCTGTGCATGTGGCCCTTCACTGAAAAAGGTTGTGCACCCCTACTATAATCAATTATAATGTTAACAGTAGATGTGAAACAATTAAACAGAAGTTTACACTATTTTTATATCAAAGAAAAAGAAAGTAAGCCAATATATTAATTTATAAGAGAAGATACTTATTTTGTTAGATTAAACGAAAAACTATTATTAAGTAAATGTAATTATACTTTAGTAAAGTGTACAAGCATTTTTGTCCATATCTCAAATTTAAAAAAAAATAATTTTTTTGAAAATAAAACTTAGGTGATCATTGTTTACCCCAGAAACAGAGTGATCATAAATTACCCCGGATCACTTTTTTAACCTTTAGCAATTTCGTTAATTACGGTGTTTTCCTTTATTTTGTTGCTATTTGTTACTTTTAGTACAGTGGACACTCATAATGGTTTATCAAAAAAAAAAAAAAACCTTTTTTATGATATATCATATGTTTACAAAAATTCCTTAAATATTTACACTTGTAAGAAAAATAATATTCAGGACTAATTCTGAGTTCTTCCACTAAAACGGGGCAGAACACTTCCTTTCTGGAAAGGCCACTTTGAGTTTTGAAAGGGCACTCACTTAACACTGTAAAAATGTCCTAATGTTATGTAATAACTGAATTTGATCTTCAACAATTTTTAAATTACCCTCTTATACTGTTATATGTGTATATTTTAAAATATAATTCTTCAAAATAAGAGAAAAATTTGTAGTTTATAAAATAATTAAAGGCATGCTAAGAGACAATCTTTATGCATACATTTTTTTTTCTTTTTCAAGGAAAAAAGTAAACTAAAAGAAATAATGACTAATTGATAAACAACTTACAAATTAAAAACTTTTTTTTTTTTTATAATTTAAACTGAAAATTAGTAAATTAACATTCTAAAGGTGATTTTGAAAAGAAGATATTTATTCAAGAAAATGAGAAAGATACTTACTAGAAATATTTAGCAAATTGAAAGTAATCCTAACAAAGTGAATATTTGTTATCAGAATCAAACCTATAAATATAGCTAATTTTACCAGTGTGTGAATTATTATTTGAACAGTGAATTAATAATTTTTTTTCTAAAGGGAATGTGAATAAAAAAACAATATATTTAATCGATGGCAGCTTATTTTTTACAAAAAGGACTAGAGAGTGCATTTATTGGGATCAAAGGGCAGAGGGAGAACACTTGCTGATTTGGACATAACAATGCTGTACTTTAGTT